AGCAAGCGAAAACGACAATCGCCTTTGGACCATAGGTCTTCGACACTTCATCAAGTAAGCAAGTGGATGAGACCCTGCTGCTTGGTGCAGATAAGAGACCGACGCCTAAAGGTTCTGCAGCCGTGGACATTGCGTTTCGGGGTTCGTGGTGTTCTGGAACCTCTAGAAGTCTACACAACCTACAGGTCTTGGCACAAGTCTCTCTTCGTTCAAGTTTGGTTGCGGACTCCGACCATCTTCAGATTGAGCCCTGAAGTACATCATTCATGCGGCTGCGCTTCCTAGCTTGCGGGAAAGAGGGTTTTCAGGTAAATCAGTATGGCCATCACACAGTCACACAACGTTATTTCCCCAGCCGGCGGAACAAAGCCCCAAACCATGGGCCCTGCAAGTGAAAGTCTAAATTCACTTCCAAATCGCCTTCGCATGCCAAGCACCTTCATCCCGTCCCTCAACATTGCACCACATGCTCTTCATCGAAAACTGCGAAAACGAAACCCTGCCCTACCGGACACGTGAACCCAAGCCCTCAACACAAATATCTCACCCCGGGCTTATGTTACTGAACCTGCCGACACGCAACCCCTAAATGCGGGCGGTTTGGCCAGTGGTAACGGCCGTGCGGGCCCTTTCTGGAGATCCAGCCTTGAGTTGGTAGAGTCTTGTGATCGGATCTTGCTGGTGGATGCAGAGAGCTTTAGTGAAACAGAAGCATGTTTTCTTCCTTGAATCCTCTGTGGGAACCTGGATAAACATGCACGAGTGCTGAAAGCGAGGAAACCCCTTTTCAACTCCTCAGCGTCCACTCGTGACATGCGACAAGCCAAAAGATGTGAGTGCTAGATTCCAAAGGGTTTCTTGGGGCACTGTGTCAGCAAAAGTGTCCAGGCTTCATATCAAAAAGCTTCAACCTCAGCGACGTGTCCCAAGGGCTTTCACAGCGCCGCACGCACGACAACCTCAACTGCCACTGACGTTCTTAAATTCAGCTAACACGCCCCAGTCGGATGCTGAAAACACCAACAGCGATAAGGTTTTGAACACATCCGATCCTAAGTCCACAGACCCGTCTCATCCTGTACTCCGACCATGACTTTCCGACCCGTAGCCTTAGAAGGTGGGGGAGGGCCTTCCGGCGCAAGGTCGGGTGCCAGGAGGGGCTCTTCGGCACTGGGCACCTGGGTGTTATGCAAATGCTGTCTTTTCGGTGCAGCAGCTTCAGCAAGTATTCCGTATTTCTAGGGTTTATGGCTTTGGGGGTTGGGGGGATTGAAGCTTCTTGGGCATGTTCGGTTTGAAGAGTTTACAGGACTATGAGGCTTGTGGGTTTACGGGCTCATCAGGTTTACAGGATGTCACGGGAGTTCGACTTCAGACGTTGGTAGGGACTGTTCACAGGGAATCTAGTGTAAGAAGGCTGCTATGACTTGCAGGGCTTATAGTCTTTGTGGCGTTACAAGGTTGATGATTTTACAGGGTTCAGGCTCTGTCGGATTTATGAGCCTTTGCATGTTTCAAGGATTAAGTCTTTGACCCTTCAGGGCATAGGCATCATGTCCCAGGATTTGCAAGAGATTGCTCTTGTGCCAGTCTTGGTGGTGTTTAGCAAGGACCGCGCCTGCGGTGTGGGTGCGCAACAAGGTATCCGTTTCGCAGGACAGTACCATCCGTTCCCTCAAATCGCTGAATCCAATGCGTTAACGCTCACACAACCCTGAAGCGCAACACCGAAAGCCGAAAAAGCCATCCCCGAATCCATGGACACAATACCACCAACACGACCTTCACTCGGAAACTAGACTCCTTACTGGCCCAAATCCAATCCTAAACATCTGGCACCCCGAAAAGCTTTTGGCAGCTTGGAGTTGAGCTCTGATTCAAAATGCGAGCTGAACCACTAAAGTTCGAACCCTGAAATCCAAAACCGTAGATCTCGAAGCTGAACGCCTTAACTTTACCAAACCGACATCCTAAACCACCTCAGTATCAATCGCATGCTAAACTCTTACAGTAACCAGCCTGCTCATGAAGCCACTTCTGAAACCCTAGAGAAGCCAGAGCGCTCAGCCCTCAACTCAAGTCCCAAGCTCAATGCTCCTCGCAGCAGGAAGCCTTATAATGAAAGCCCTGCACAATGCTTATTATGAAACCCTTCGAGTAACCTGTTAAAAAGCCTCATGTCATATCTTGCACCCTCATAGTAGCTCGACCTTTCGAGGACTGTTGCTTTCGGCCTGAGAGTAACCCGTAGAAGAATCCTCGACTATAGTTGCAGCACCTTTTTACTGAGGCTTTAAAGCACTCCTTTTCGTGTAAGCCTTCCTAGAACCCCAAGTTCCAAGCCTTGCCACTCCTCCGTCGAGCCCGCTCGGCAGCCTCCTGGCAAGGAGGCGGGGCTTAAGGCCGAGAGGATTTTTTTTTTGGGGTTCTGAGGTTCAAGGGTTCAGGGCCTTCTGGGTAAAGTCCGGGGTTCGCTGTTCCAGGGCTTTAGGATTTGTAACCCTCAGTTCTTAGGTGCAACCTTGGCCATTTCAGCACGGCAAGAACAGGAAAAGACAAGATGCGAGGCTTTCTGGCTTGGGGCTCCAGGCTTGCGAGGTTTGAGGGATCTGGGCTCAGTTCGTCACTTGGGTTCAGGGTGCTTGGGTAGGCACTCCCGAATGATCGGCTCCCAGGCTTGGGTTTTGGAGCTTCGGCCAGGAAGATTGCAGGCAGGTTAGGGTCAACTGCCATCATGAAATGAGACCTCGCCACAAATCCCGAAACCTGACCCAACACACCTGAAGACGAAATCTGAGTCTCCCGGGAAGCGTCGAGTCACTTGCCTGCGCCTCTCCTGGCGTCAGCGTCCTGGCTCCGGGAGAGCTCGGATTTCCGGTCAGGGATGGACAAGGGCTTCGGAGTGTCAGAGCTTTAGGCTCCAGGGACTGAGTTCGGGAAAGAGGACTTCTTTCGCACGCATTCGAAGCGGCTTCAAAAAGGCTTCGTACAGCTATGACCGCAAGAGGGCCGGGCCCAGATAAGTGGAATAGTGTTTATGCTTGGTGTTTGAAGTATCCATCTAAAATTAAGGCTTCCGGTTTTGGGATGTCTCAAGAAGTAAAGATTTCGGGCATAGACTGGAAGCAACTCTGAGAAGACGAAGGGCAGGTAGATTTTTGAGCACCAAGCCCTAAGCCGCGCGATGCTAAGCTGGAGCGAAATCGCAGCTCTCATCCTCGAGTGAGGTTAAATGCGAAGCCCTAAAAGGTGATAAAGCAATGCAAGAAGTCTTGTTAGACCAATCCCAGACGCCTGCAACAGATAGTACCTGGGAGCCTTCTCGCTCGATCGAAACTCTAGCTTTTGAAGAGCTGCTGAGTAGGGCTGTTGACTGCTTAGGTCCTCCCAACAACTCTCAACACCTGTGAACCACCAATACAAGCTTGACCCTAACTGCCACTTGAAACAAAAGCAAGCTCCCGATTTCTGAGCTTTGCCTTTCTGTCCCTCACCCTTCTTGCAGAAGATGAGCCTCAGCCCCTCCATGACAGGTGGGCTGCTGCACTCCTCCAAGGAATCTCGGCATTGGGCTTCGGGTCTGCCAGGGGGGCTCGGATGGGGCCCTTGAGCTAGAACCTCTCATCTAGCTGTCCGCAAGATTCAAGCGTCAGCCGGTCTCACCTTGAAACCCCCGCCTGCGGCCCAGGATTGAAAGCTTAGAGTGTTTGGATGAGGCATGGAGTCTCCAAGCTGTCCAGTTTAAGGTTGACATGAGAAGCGGTCAGAGGTTCCTCTCTTCCCAACCTCTTAATCCCTTCCCCAGTGACCCTCCCTCCTCTGTCAACCTCTGGATGAGGCCCCAGGTCCCACGGTGAAGTTTCGCGTCTTCCAATGGATTTGAGCTTGCATCAGGGGCTGTTCTTTCTCCCTATACGCTGCGGGTTTAGGGCGGGTTTCGGGTTGAAGGTTTAAACTTTAGGGTTTGGGGTTCAGAGTTTCGGGTTTTAGGACTCTGGGCCTTGGTAGGCTTTCGCGTTGCTGCTTTCCGAGACAATGCACCGCAGCCGGGCCGAGGCGGACGACGCGAAGCGTTTAAAATTAGAGGTTGTTGATTTTTCGCCTGAGGGTTTGCCCCACAATTCACACAGTCCCAGGCTGTCCTCCGCCGGAGCCTCCTGGTTGAACCAGCCTGCGGCAAGCAGTTATTGTGTCCCTAAAACAAACCAGCTGCTTGTTTTGGAGGCTGCCTTCAAATGCAGAACCATAACTTCGTGAACATGACATGTGTAATTGGGCCTGGCTGCTTTTCGGCGGGCTTTGGGTAACCCTCTTGTGAATCACGGTTTGTGGACTTTTTTGGAGGGAACCCCGTATCGGGCGCATCACCAGAAACAAACATTTTGGCTTTAGGAGTCGGAAGGATGTGTTCTGCCGGTCGTTGCCTAATGCTGTCAGCAGCAAGGCTGAATCGATCTAGTTCTAGCAAAGCAAAAGACAAGACCACATCAACCTTCACAGCCAGCTCCAATTTGCAAGCCTCCAAAGATTAGGCCATCAATTCCAAAGTCTGCAAGCGCCCAAACGGTCGAACCTGAAACTGAAACCGGGCACAGCCCAAACCCTGCTCATCCCTTTTCTCACTCAGGCACGACGGATCTCGACGAATCTTCAAAGCACGGCCGGCCCTAAGCAAAAGCAGTGCTGGCGGCTTTTGGGTTTGACTGGGAAAAAGCTTTTTGGGGCATAGGACTAAGGGCTGTGTGGGGTTTTGGATTTAGGGCTTCGTTTTCGGAGTGTCAGGCGTTCGGCTTTCGGGGTTCAGGGGTGGTCCGATTTTTCCATGCTTCTTGTCCTGGTCAAAGCGAAAAGCCGCAAGCAGCCTACACAACTCACTCTTGAGCCCAAACCGTAAGTTATGATCTTAATTACTCCTCTTCAGCCCAAGATCGTAGATTACATCCTAAAGACGTTCATCACAAAAAACATCTCTCAGACCTAGACGGTCCGAGAGAAAGGGATCACACCCATTCCTGCGGAGTCTTAAAAGCCTCCATGATCTCCGCCTCTGGAGAGCCTTCCTCGGGCTCATGGGCGTAGAGCCACTTGGCATTCTCTGGCAGGGACATCAGGATGCTTTCCTTGTGTATGGAGGAGGCTGAGAACTTTACATCCGAATCCTTGAATCCTAGTGTCTCGGGTCTACGTCGAGTGTTCGGTGTGCTTTCCCGATGATTCGGGTTTCATGGCTTGGTGAGGGCCAGGGAGTCTGCACACGAATCGCCTGGATTCAGAGATGAATTTGCTTTGCGTCGGTTGGCAGTCTAAGCAACAACATCAAGATTATCAGCAAACCAAGAGCCCACGAGAAGCTCCAGAACACTCGCACGAGATATGCCTCGGCCCTCAATCCAACAACCTGCACACCCTATACACACAACTCTGGATCCTAGAGACCGGCAGCCTGCACAGTGAAGCCGACAGGCTGTGGGTTTGTCTATGGTGCGGCTCCCTTTACGGGTATCCTTTCGGAGTTGCTTGAAAATGCGAGAAGGCAAGAAACCCGGGTCTGCCAATGCAGTGCCAGTCGCAATGCGGCCTACGCCACTGCTGAGCATCTTGAGTCCGAAGACGGTGCCGCGGTCGTAGACGAGGTTGAATTCGACCTGAGGCTTTGAGCGCTGGGTCTGGGCTTCAGACCCCCTCAGGATATTCCCGGGATTCTAGCAAACCCTTCATGGGCACAGCATCCGGTGCACCAAAGCTCAAACGCCGAGAATCCGAGCACGTCTACCAAAAACAATCTCTGATGGTGCGTGGAAGGCTTTAGTAGCGCAGAGTTGGGCAGAACAGGGCCCGCTGATTCAACATTCTGTGATGGCTGCGGTTTTTTCAGGCTTTGTGGCTCAAGGTCCAAGCGTCGAAAGTGAGAAAATCCGGAGCCAGGGAGCTTCTAAGCCTCAAGTTCTACGTACAGCCTACCAGAGGCTGCCTCGAACTGAACTTTCCTTGAACAAGCTCGTATCTAGAACTGATGGGGCTCTACAAGACAAGCCTCGGGTTTCAATGCTTTCGCAGTGTAGAGCACCCTTCTTTAGGAACCACAATCAACCTGAGGCCACACGCCAAGCCCTCGTAGAAATGCCTTGGACACCAAAACCGCCAACATCCAACCCGCGCAAGCTGCCCTAAATCCCAGAAGCTCGAACTCTAACACCTTGGGAACTGGGAACCCCAAGCCTAAGCTCCTGGTTCTAGGAAGCCCAAGACACGTAGCGACCCCGTCGTACCAGCTGCCACTGCTTCTGCTCGTCGGTGTATTCCTTGTCCTTTTGGGCTGTCTTGTATCGAGGGCCCCTGGTCCTTTCAAGTCTAGGACGCAGGGTGTAGGGTCTGTAATCAGCAATAGCATCCGACTAGAGTCCTGCAAGAAACAAAAGCACCCTCCGACTCACATCCAAAGCCTCGAATCATGAACTCGAAAGCCCGTTTCAGCCACAGGTGTCCTTGTTCTTCTCGAGAATTGGCACATACGCCTGCAAATGAACAACGATGAACTCAGGCCTAAGCACAATGGTACCTGCTAAGCCTGCTAGGCTTTGGGGTGATTTCAAGGGGCTCATGTCATCCGGGGCATTGGGTTTGGAGCTTGGCCCACCTGTTTCCCGATCAGAGCTGTTGAACTCTTGAAGTTCGGGCCATTAGCCAGGTCCGAACCCAACTTCCTTCCAACCCAAATACTTAAAACCCCACACCAAGGCTTTGCACATCGCGGATCAAACCCTAAGGTAGGACCCATACAGTAATGCGAAGCCACTTATCCGGCCTTGGCGACTGAGGCTAGGCAGTCGGTGGAGAACTTCAGGTGCGTCTCGGGATCCTGCGAGAAAGCACATAGGAGTCCGAAGGGTTTGGAGTCTGGGATTTCACAGTGGGCCTTGTATGGCACCCGGAAGCCCTCAACCCCCAAGACCTTGGCCCTATGCCACGAGAAGCCCCGAAGCTACGACATGCATTCTCCCAAGATCTAAACCCAAGCCTTGACTCCACGCCTTACAATCTGGACCCTAAAGCGAACGGCCTGGAGGCTAAACTCAAAATCGCAGACCCTATATCCTAATACCCTAAACCGCAACCCTAAACCCCCAGATACACTAACCCTCTAGACACCAAGACCCCTAAACCTTCAGCTGTTGCCTCCGTGTTGAAGTCGTCAAAGAAGATGCCACCCAGACCGCGGGTCTCCTGATGTCATCAGCGACACCCCAGCAGTCTTGAAGTCCTAAAAAACCCAGCGACTTCTTTTTAGTTGATTAAACCAACCCAGAGGTGCCGTTTTACCATGTCGAAGGTTGAGATGTATCATCCCCAGGCTGCTGGCCAGACGCTTGAGGTTAACCGAGCAAAGAGAGCCGGAAAGGTTAAGGACCTAGAGAGACCCGGTAAGGCCCAAAACGTAGTTTTGGGGACCTTAAAGCGAACAATCAATAGTTGCAAGTCGGTTTCGGGGCATATTCTACTATTAGCACCAGCACAAGACATTCCAAGAACTGCAGAGCCTGGCGATGTTGGATGAGGAAGTACTCGTCGGCCCACTTCCTTCTCGAATCATCGTGAGACTTGTCCTACAACCTTCTAGGAGGATTCCCCCAAAATGTGGCTTGGGATATGCATTCTAGCACTAGTTTCGATCTTTGCACCAGGATACCAGAACTCATCGGGACCGGAAGTGGGGGCTTTCTTGAGTAGAAGTCGTTACATGGGTTGTGGAAGATTGCTTGCCGTTTCACGTCTCAGGGTTTCGGCTTCATGTTGAGGAATTGGAACTGGAACAGATCCTGAGCATTGAAGGCAAAGGAGGGGGCCCCATTCAGAGCTTTCAGATGTACAGCTTCGGGCTTGCGGTTCAGGGAAGCTTGCTCAACGTCAACGACTGGAGCTGCTGCCAGAGTTTCTTGAACTTGCTGTACCACTCGGGGTCGTACTTGTCGCAAACATCCTGCAAGAAGCTTCTCGAACAACTTCTTGCTGCGAAGGTGAGGCCACACCGTTTTTCAGCTACGCTGCTTGCAACAATCCAAAACCATCATTCCAGGGAAAGCTGACAAAGTCTCGGGAGAGTGCCAAGTGAAACAAAGGCCTAAATCACATCCTCTTCAAGTCAGAAAGGGCCAAAACCAAGCATTCCAGTGGTCTAAATAGAACGAATCCTTGTAGGTGCCGTGGAAATGCTTCATGTCATCCTTGTCCTGGGGGTTTCGAAGAGGGCTCAAAGTCAGCGGTTTCACAGGCTCGGAGCTGCGATTCAGGCTTGGGCGGAAGGCTCGAAGCGTTCGGATGCACTCTTGTTGGGTCTGGGTTTGTACAGTAGGAGTCTGAGCAGTGCCCAAGCAGCCAAGTAGGAGGGAGTGATGTCCGTCCCGCCACCAAACCACCTCGGCTCTTCTGCGCCTCTAGGCTTGGTGGGACCCTCTCCTAGTCTCGCATAAAACCATTTTTCACATCAAAATGCCAGGACCTTGTTTCACCGAGCTGCCACTGTCCTGTCTCCGTCTCGAAATAGCGGTAGTTGAAGTGCATGGTGGGACAGTGGGGATTCCTTGCACACCAAAACCCCCTCTTCCAGCTCCTTTCAAAAATAAGGATCCTACTATTTGGGGTTGGACTGCAAGGCTCCAGATCCAAGATCTTCCAAGTAGCCCCTTCACATCCCAAACCCTACACCCTGACCCCGCCGCCCGAAAATCGAAACCTGACAGGAATTAGATTCATTAGATGTTTCCCCGAAAAATCTTGGATTTCGAACGCAAAGCCGGGCATCTTTGGATGCATTACGGAGGACAGTCCGCACGCGAAGAAGGGAACCTTTTGCCCGGGCTTCAGCTTTCCACCTGCCAGGGGTTTACGTCTTCGTGGCCGAAAACCTTGTGCTTTTTTGGATACGTATTATGGAAGCTTTTCCTACCCGACTGGGGTGGGGCCAGGAGAATGCAGCCCATGATTCAAAAACACTCTTTCCCTGGTACCTATTGTACGTCTGAGCCGTGCTTCATGCTTAAATGGCCGTCAAACTCAGGGCACAGGCCACCCAACACAGGTTCCACAACGCCTGCGACGCTGTGAAGCCCAGAATCCTTTCCAAACCCGAACCCTAAGACTCCCGAAACCTAAAACCCTAAATCCGAACTATCCCCAAACCTCGAAATAAACACATAAAACCCAACAACTCTTAAATAAACCGCAAAACCCAAAATCATAAAGATTCCTTAAACCCGACCCCCTAAACCAAAAAACGGATCCAAGACCCCACAACCCCTTTGCAGAACCCCAACCCCTATGCTCACCCTGATTGGATAGGACCCGTTTACGTCCTAAACCCCGGTTCATGGGTAGTTATAAGTCGGGTTTTAAGTCCCTAATATGAGTTATAAGTATAGTTACCCTACTTACAACCCCACTTATACCTACGCATGAACCTCCAAGTAAACCCAAACCCGCAAAGAACTTACGGAAGCAACAAAGCAAACAACCCAAGAGCCGCAAACCCCAGGCCACCGGCACGGTCAGCTCCTCGCTCGGTTGCGGCGTTCAGCGCTGACTCGGGCATCTCTCCATAGACAACCTTCGCAAAACGGAAGAACTTGACAAACATAGAGGGAGCCATAGGTTTCGGGCTTTAAGTTAGGGTGGTAGGGGTAGGGTGGTTTACCGTAAGAGTTGACAGAAAGGTTCAAGGCTGTCTTCTTGCCTCTGCAGAGGTTGCCCTGACATGGTTTTGCTTTTCCTGGGGATTGGCATAAGCGTTGGGTTACTTCTCGTTTGAGGCTTAGAGTGTTGGGTTTAGGGTTCGTGCTAAGGGAATGTAGGGGCTCGACATTTCCGGTTTTTCAGATTTAGGGGTTGGGGTCAGGGCTAATGTCATCTAAGGGTTGTTGATAGGGCCTATATTTCCAGAGTCTTCCGGTCAGTTTCAAGATCTTGAGGTCGCACTTCACACTTACTCTCGGGTGCATGGGATCCGGGTTCGGGGTTTGGTGTTTGCGGGTCTTCGCACTGAAACGGTAGGGGAGCTATACTGACTAGGAGTGCTGTCAACATCCTTTTGCTCACGTTGCCGTGGTTGGCATTGGGTTTGTGGCCAGGGTGGCGACGCTGCTGGCTGCTGCTGATGATGATAAGCGATGATTTTCGTAATGGCGGTGGTGGCGAAAATTATGGTGACGATGGTGCTGATGTCCCAGCACTAGGGTTGCACGGCTGTTGCTCATGTCGGCCAGTAGCCTACTTCTTGGCACTCTAGATTGTGAGTTCGCGCCATGCTGCTTTCGCTGCTGCTCTCGCGGGCGGGTTTGAAGGTGTCTGCGGAATTGCATCTCCCAGGAAGGTAACGCTGATTTCCTTCAAGCAAACTAGGTCTACTCAAGAGCAGGGACGATTAGGCAGAGTAGCATCAACCGCACCTATCAAAGCAATCGCACAGCTGAGTGACGCTGAGGTTGACCCCGGCTTTCTCAAAGACGTTGCCATTTCGGAGCACTCGGGCGATACCGCCACCGCCGCGGTCCCCACGTGTGTATGGCTCCTTGCAGAACCTGGAAGATCCGAGGGTGGAGGGCTTTCTGTTTACTTTCTTGCGTCAGCAACATCGGAATCTTCAGATCTGTTTTGTTTTTGCAACAATCCTGGTATGGGTCTGAGAGTTTTCGTCATGAAGTTTGTTGTTTAGAAAAGAAAGTTTCAGGGTGTCGCACCATCAAGGAGGATTTGTGGGGTCAGGCAGAATCCTTGGAAGCACATTGGCTTCTGCATACCCGACAACAGTGTTTGCAGCTGGTTGCAAACGTCGTTGTGTCAGATGAGCTGACTCACTTTTGCACAAAACAAAGTCATGAGGTATGAGCATCCAAGCTGACACTTCCTTCAACCTTTCAAGTTCAGGGTTCAGAGCTTGTGAGGCGAATCCTCCAAGCTATCTACAAGGGTACGTACTCTCTCCCTCTCTGTAACTCTATGTCTTTCTATATACACTTACACAGACTTGTTTGTACTTGTTCATATACAACATACGAAGAGGTATAAACAACCAAACAAACAAATCAATCTTTCTCCCTCTATATATATATATATATATATATGGGCGTGCGCTGTGCATGCTGGACCCGCCATCTCTTCTTTTGGCCCCGTGTGATATCCCCCGCCGCTGCCACGTCCCGCTGCAGCCTAAACCGGACTGGGACCCGGCGGCCGGGGCAAATGTTCCCCAAGATGCTAGTTACTCAGCTACCAAGGGGTCTGGTTCGAAGTCTTCCGAAAGGACAAAGTAGCTTGGCTCCGCCATCGCAGTCCTCGATGGCCTGGACATGAAGGAATGGTGGAAAGAAGGAAAAGGTGCATTAAACGGCCTTGGGATTTGGGTTCGTGTGTTTTTGGGGCTCTATTAGGGTTGAGCAGCAACCAATATCGAGGTCTCAGTGGCTAGAACAGGGTCTCTGGATGCACTTCTAGCGAAAGGCCACTTCTGACCCTGCCTTGCAAATGTCCTCCTGCGCCTGAGCCACAACAGCCTCAAAGCGCCTTCTCATCGACTCTGGTGGGTCGGAGTCCTGGCGGTGTGGGGCTTCGGGTGAAGCTTGCAACATGCGCCTAAAGCGGGATGTATACGGTCTTGGAAGGGCTGTATAAGGGCTCGAAAGCTCGATAGTATCTAACTTATTTCAGTTCACGTCTCTCCGACGTTTACGGCTGTGGAGCTTTCGGAGGTATTTCAGGGCTTTTAAGGGCTCAGGGCGGTCAGGATTCAGGTTTAGACTTTGGCATCTGGGCTGGAGGATCCGGAGAGCCCAGCCCGCATAGAGCAATGACGTCTTATCAGGCTTCCTATGGTGTTGAATAGGCTCAACGCAGAAGATTCTATATGGGCCCAAGCCGGGAATGCAGAGTCGGGATCTGAACGCGAAGCCCTGCTCTCCCCCCAAACTAGATCCCATCCGAGGCGATACCCCCAAACAAAATCGACGAAGCATTTAGCTTAACCTCGAAACGCCTAAGCCCTAAACCCTGCCCCAAGCCCTACCCTCTCCTTGCACATGGAGGTGTACTTCTCCATAACAGCGGCTGCAGACCGCACGGCCATCCTCTTGCGCATTCTCCGTCGGCCGCCGGCCAAAACCGCTGCTCCAGCAAGGGCCTCTGTAGGTATCTAGTTTGAAGATGCTTTGTTCTTATTGCTTGTGGAAAAGGTCTTGAAAGGTAAGAGCTCGGGATGAAAAGTGAGACAACGAGCTCCAAGATATGTGGGAAATATACGGCTTCTGTAGGTGAATGTGGGGCTTGGACCGCAGGGTCGCGATACAGCTCCAGGCTCCGTCAAGGTTTATGTTTAAGCATGGCTGATGTTTTTTTTTTTGCAGGGGCATGTAGGATTGGCGCGGGGGCGTACTTGAAAGCCAGGCCGAAACCATGTCCTTTACAGGCTCTGCTCCACTGGGGACTATGTGCATCAAAGCTGGTTCAAGCACTCGATCGGAAACCACCAAGAAGCTGTAGCCAGAACTCAGACACAATGGGACCAATGATCAGCGTCTCTGTTTTTCAGCCATGGTCTCGTGACCCTTAAGCCACATCCAATGGCCACGGCATGTTCGTGCTGGCTCCCACCAACGTCATCCAAACCTGCGATATTGAGGCCCCAAAGAACTCACCGGTGAACGCTCGACGAGCCCACACCCCGAACCCCGAATAACAAACTCGGGCCCTCTTGTAAGTTTGTCTTTCTCCTCAAGCCCATGCAGCCACTGTCTTTTAACATGTTTACGCCGGGCGGCTGGAAGCGCGTGAGACGGGGCGGAGAAGGACTGGGCACTCGTGGCCGTGGCCGAGACGGCCGGAGCGATCCCTGCGCGTGGGGCAGTGGACCTGAGCCATGCCGCGGCTTAGGTGAAACCAAAAAGGCTTCTATAAGGTCTTCTTCAGAAGTCATGAGTGGGATTTCTGGTTCTAGTCGTTAAGTTTCTTCAGTTTGTTTTGACTGTGGCTTATTCACAGAAAGCAGCTGCACACGGGAGCTGCAAGAAGTGATGGTTTCGCAGCGGTCAGAGCAAGCGTCCTGCGCTTCGAGAACTAAACCCCAAACCTTGCAAACCACAACTTCTTCTGATAAGCCCGTCGCCTACACTGGCTCCATGAGCCGAAGACAAGGCCTTCTCAACCTCAAGGAAACCGGAAAAAAGAGGGAGAGAGGAGACTTTAGAGCAAGGAAAAGGCAACCAAACAGATCGGAAATTGAAGATCTGATACACTCTGATGCTGATAGAAAAGAAGCTCACGAAGTCCAACGGACGGGGAGGAATGTGAAGCGGGTTTTGTATCATGACCCTCGGGGGACACTATGACTAACTATTCCGTCTTCAGGACTATGAATTCAAGAAAAGGGGGCAAGCCGCTCTGATGACTACCCTGATAGACAGACTCAACACACCGACATAGTCCCCAGTCCCACACCCAAAAACCGTGAACCTTCAACCCAAATCAAACGTGGCCCAGTGGCTGGCTGGTAACTGACTGGCCCGCAGATGTGACGAAGGCGGTCGCGCCGGCTGTGGCAGCGGCAGCCGCCGCAACCTGGGTCATAAGAGACTCTCCTCAGGGCTGAATACCTTGAAAGCAACCCCAGAACCTACAGAGCTGCTTTAGAATCCTGATAGAGATGCAGAACCCTTTACATAACTTACATACTTGGAGAGTCTTGGAGTTGTATGTCCCGTCCAAAAGAATGTGCACCAATGATGCGCTGCTGCGCCGGACAGTTTGGGAAAGCCATACTAGCAAACTGCAGCACTCGGAAACAGCACAAACCCAGAGGGGCACAGCTGTCCTTGCTCTATCTTTGCTGTAGTCTTTCTGACCGTTACCATCATCCTGACAAGCGTTGTATGATATGCCGCATGACACAGACAACCCCATTCTACTTCACGTCGGTCCAAACCTTGACGAAATACAGCCGCCCCGCCGACTTTACTGTGTGGGATCCAGGGCTCATAGTTCATGGGCGTCCCTCCGAAAACGACGATCCCCCATTAAGAGGAACACGCGTGCCTGTGTTTTCTGGTGCTTTCAAAAACAACAAGCCTGCCCTAAGGTTGCCAAAGCATGCGTGATGTCTCCTACACTGCGCCACCATGCGACTTTGAAAGCGTCGACGGGCCGCTGGCGGGAAGCCATGATTTTCCTGGAGTTTCTCGCTCGGCTATGACTCCCGTGCTGCTTTGGCCGGTATGGCTGCGGGTGTTCCAAGCCCTATGTTGAGCCACGGGTTCAGGCCTAGGGAAGCATGAAAGGGGTAGGACGGAAGCCAATCTTCTTCGCAAAATACTGAAAACACTGCTATGAATATGAAGATGCAAGTCACCCAGTTTGAATATGCATCCCTATCCAGATGCTAGAGCGCAGCAACAGCGGAAAGATCAGGTACGAGTTTGATATCAGTGATTCAAAGCCTCAAGCCCCCTTCTGGCGCACGTCCTGAACCTTTAGCACTCAACCATGCAGCACGGATCTGCCTATTGGTGCGCCGACTTGACCTGCCAAGGACACCATCTGTGGGAGCCCCTCATGAGAAGCATCAGCAAAGGTGGGCCTTGAAGTGGTTCTTTGTTTGAAGTTCTTTCAGACGGTTTGTCGCGACGGACATGCTTGGAGCAGCAAGAACAAACAAAAAGCAGCAGCGTCGTGCAACGACTACCGCGGCATGGAGAGGACAAGCATTCTTTATAGATTATAGGGCTATTCACTCGAGACACGCGCGGAATCTGCACACAGTGTAGCATGCCTGGGGAACGGCCTGGATCGGGTTTGGGGCTTTCAGGATCGAGAAGCTTGGACAGGGATTCTGAGGCCTCAGGAGTTGAAGCTTGGAGCTTGGAGGCTCGGCGCTCAGGGCTCGCTATGCCAAAAACACCATGAACCCTGCGCCCGGTCTTGGTCTGTAAGCCTGTGAGTCTGCCCATCTGAAACAGCAATTCCAAGCCGAGATGCGCATGAGGTCCCCTGCTGTGAGGGCCAGGGATTCCGAGACCGTGCGCGTGGTGGCCTAGGAACGGCTGAGGAAATCAGCAAAACCGATACAAATCTGAAATCGCTTAATCCTCAAACCCTAAAGTCCCAATGCCTGTGTTTGTTCCCGTGTTAGCCCAGTGTTTAGCCTAAGGAGCTCGGAGTTAGGACGGCTTCGAGCTCAGGCTTCCAGTTTTGTTTTAAAGTTACGGCTCCAGGTGTCGGTTTGATCAATTTTTTGCTGTGGCGAATGTTCTGAAAGTTCGGCTACGTCGGTGAAGAGGCTGGCGAGGGATTGTCGGCACAGGTCGTTACGGTTTCAGGTTTGGAACTTGTGGGCTAGGGTGCAGCGTTTAGGGGTCGCGGATCAGGGTTTCGGGCTCAGGGTTTAGTTGTTTGCAAGGCTTGAAGTGGTGGGTACAGGTTTGCAGATCTGCTAGGGAAAGTCCTAGTGAATGGTTTGTGTTCTTTTTGCAAACAGATAGACAGACAGAAATGAACGACAGATACGAAGTGTGTGTAGCTTGACAGGAACTGCAGGCATCCATGTAGACCAATCCGATTCCTTAGCTTCCGACTTCGGCAGCTTCCAGGATCGTGTCGGGATCCGTGTCCACCGAAAGTGCCACGGCCTCAACCGGCCGTTACCGGCCTCTAAGTCCCAAGCCTAACTCACCCATAGCGCTCTGCAGGGTCGCCGGGTGGCCAACTTCGGGCCCTGGTCGAAATCATTCGTAGTTTGGGCCTTCCTGTGCTCGGGCGTATCAGTGGAGAAACCGAATCCGCCCCGAAGCTCTCTTTCTTGCAACACACAGTCTTCAAGTCTAGTCTAGGGCTTAAAGGTTCAGAGTGTAGGCAGTGAAACCCCTGGAAATTGAAAACGCACACCCCAGCTCATGGACTCCGCACAATGGGCCTGGGAGTGACTGGTTGACTCACTGGCTTATCTTGATTTGGCCTTGTGGTCCCTGCGTGCACTTGGGCCCCTGGGCCCCCGGCGACGGTGGCGGCCGCATCTCCGAGTAGCTGGGCATCGCCAAGGACTCCACCCTTCCTTCCGTTGTGGCTTGAAGTGTCAAGGTTTACCAGTTCACGGTTTAGGGTCCTTCCTTTCGTTGTCAAGGTTTAGGGTTGAGGTGCTTAGGGCTGTCGAGCTTTAGGGACTTTGGGCTTAGGTTTCAAGCTCCAAGCAAGCTTTCATTTGGCGACTATAGTGGTCAACAAAACATGCTCCCTCAACCTTAAGCACTGAAGCCCTTGAATACATCGCCTCGACCTCCCATTATCTTCCCGTTCACTTCAGGCTCCGGCTATACGACAGGCATTATGTGAGACTGAGCATGAAGGATTTGGTGTGTGCTTCATGCCAAGGGCCCGACACATGGGAGAGTGGCACCAACAGCACGGGGCTCCCCCAAACCTGGCGACCGGGATGTGTGTGCCACTGCTTCGAAAGCTCGTGCCAGCGACTGTTGGTTGTGAGTTTCGGGTATTTGTTCCCCGAAGGCTTACCGTGACGGGAAAGGCTGTTTGGAGTTTTGGCCTTGGGACTCTTTACTTGACAAGGGACTCCTACTTAGTTGCATGCTCCCAAGACGTTCAAACCGTGAAGTCGTGTGAGGACCCTCTACTCTAGGGCCAACGGAAGAGGACCCGGCAGCATCACTATGCAACCCTCTCTTCCCGAACCATCGCAGGGTTTGGGATTTAGTATCCGGAAGCTGCACAAGGCTTATAGGCGAGATCCCTGTCCTGTGGTCTTTAGGATTTTCAAATTCCTGAACCCTGCGGAGTGCCGGGTTTTGGATGCCGAGCCCTCGAAGGTGAATACAAGTTTATTGGAGCGCCTGCGCCCCATCACTGCTGCTCCGCGGCTGACAGCCCGGTAAGGCCTCGGAGCTTGGAGCCACAAACTTGTCGAAGCACTGCTGCCCAATTGCCCAAAGCCTCTGAATCACCAAGTAAAACTAGACCACATCTACCTCGTGCCATCATTATATCTGAGCTTGCGGGCAGCCTTCAGGAAGTTTTGGGAATCTATGCTCTAAGGTTCTCAAGGTGCAGGGTTCGCTACGTAAGGATCAACAGCTGTACTTCTGTGTGCAAACCACTGCGTGTGCGCTTAAAACAATGACATGAGCAGGCAAAGCACCTGTGTACATATGCACCTATACACTAGTCTGCAGCGGACAGACATGCACAAATGCATAGACCTGCAAAACATGTGGTGTGGTCTGTGCAGCAGCCGCACCCGTCCAGAGCTTTTCAAGTCGAGGAACCCTCCGTCGAAGGTTCACGCAGGCCTTGAAGCGAGCAAGAGAAAGAAGGCTGCTGTGGTTCTTTGAGTCGTTCGGGCTGTATTCGTCTGTGTATTCTGCTGCATTGAATCGGAGGGTTCGAGGCTTTCGGCTTCGGGCGGTGATGCCCAGGAGGCTTGTGACCGGCTCAGAGCTCCGTAATGAAGCTTCTCTCTGTATGCGACGGTCTAAAGCGCGCTCTGGGAAGTTTACTCGAACGGATTCATTATTTAGGTGTTGAACCTAGAACGAAAGTAAAGTTTCAGATAGGGTGGTAACAGGAGGCCTCCACCGAGCATGTGCACGTGAGATCCCAAGAGATCAAACCTAAACTTAGCTTGCAAACCCTGCTGCACCCCAACGCATACTTCAACCTTAAGCCATCGCAGCACACCCTAAACCTTCGTGCCCTGATACCGCCCAAAACCCTCAACAATTCGAAACCCAAAATTTTTTCAGAAACCCTCTAGATCCCCATGAGACCCTTCTAAACCCCCCTCTGCCTCTCCCACTTCTTGAACTCTGCTCATCTGAAGCTGCAAGGGCCCCAGCCTTGGAAGTGATAAAGAGGGAGGGTTTTGGTCAGGGCTGTATAGGCTTTACAATAGTCTCCCTGTGGCCTAAATGCCGCGCAGCCAGAGCACGAAACCCAGAGCCAGAAATGACACACTAAGTAGGCGCCAAGAGTGAAGCAGCATTTTCATGTGCTTTATTGGGGCTCAACAAAGGGGCTGAAGTTATTAGAACAGAGTTTCGCGGTACAGCATATTATCATCACACCATGACTTGCTATTTCAACTGCTATGCGGTTTGGTGGACAATCCGAACTTCCGAGTACTGTTGTCAGGTTATACTCCGCACCATTGCCCCATAACAGTCGACACAATCTTGATACAGTGCTACAATGCATCTTCAGGGATAATTGTTGCATGAGAGCTTTTTCTTCGGCACCGGATCAACTGCGCCTGCAAGAAAGACTACGCCGGCTGATTTTTTCAGCAACGCTTGTCATACTCGAGGCTTCGGCCTTGCCTAGAGAATAGTCGGGCAGGGAAGGCGGAATGCTCACGAGTCCTAGTACCTGAGCTGTCCTTGTCATGGGAGAGCGCTTGAAAGCATAACGATGCACATCAGTTCATTGCATTTATGTGTAAGACACGATAGAAATGCATTTGTGACTCCTCCTGCTCTAAAGGTACGGACAGACGTGATAGCCACAGTAGTTAGCAGGGATAATGAAAAGCGAGGAGCTGTAATGGCATACATATGCTCATCATTATCATGTCTGCATCAATTTTGCCAGAGTTGGAGTCGGGGGTGGAGGCTTCGACTTTCCTCGCTGCATGATGTGAAGATCCGTATGCCTGGGCGCGCCCCGAGGAAGTGAACCTCACTTCATGATAAGCTGTGAAACACAAGAGTTTCTCAAAGCTGCGGGACTTCAAAGACGCCCAAAGCTGGAACGTTGTAGGCACCGAACTCCTGACAAATACAACGAGCCCCTGGATTCGAGAAACTCAGACGTGATGGCAGTGTCTGAGGAACCGAAGCCGAGCCTCCTCTAAGTTCTGACAAGTTCAAGGATTACCAGTCTGCCGTAACCGCTTTGTAGCTACCACCAGTGCTCGGTATGACAAACTCAAGTTTGATACCTGAACATCTTGGAAGGCAGAACAAAAGGCTTTGTGAACCTTCAGCAAACCTGATCAATCAGCGTGGTATATTTCTGAGTTCTTGGAACTGATCTACGTGTTCCGACTGAGTCCACGCCAGCCTCCTTGCCCTGAGATCGCTGGACTTTCAGCTGTGCAACAGGTCTCGGGGTCACTCTAGGGTTTGTAGCGTTTAGGGGCTTCAATCTGTAGCACGACA